AAGATCTTCTCTGGGTTAAATCTGATATAACTACACAAAGGTTACATGGTAAAAGATTTACTTTTTCAGAAAAAGACCCCCACCCCCCAACGCTGGCTACGGGCCTGAATACTAACCTAATATCAGTTTTACAATTTACCATCCGTCAAGTCATTACATGTAATTCACTTGAGGCCAGTTAAAAATTCAATGAGTTTTCTGATGAGGTTATTACCTGTGAAATATTGGGAATACAACTAAAAAACCTTCATTATTTTAAAAACTAATTCTGACTCTGACATGGGTCATGGAATTTCATTTCTGAAAGGCACTTCCCTGAAACAGGTTGATTTTCCATTTGAGGTGTTGAAATAAAGGGCATGCTTAAAACACTTAATTTCTCCCCATCTGAAACCCACACAAACAGGTTGTTTATTAAATTAAAAATGAAAGCAATGTTCTACAAATCTTCTTTACAATGGGGAACTTAGAGCTTAGACCATTTCTCATTGTAACAAAGTCCATTAGTTTATCAGATATCTTAATTTGCCTGACCATCTCAGTTTGCTCGTGAGATAAAGCCATTATTAAAACGAGGTCCTTCCTCCCTGCAATATCATGTCTTACAGAAATGCCATTCTGATAGATACATTATAATTAAATGGCTTACAGCACTCTTCTCAGTTATCAAGGTACAACTAGGAGTAAGAAATGATGAAATAGTATTACCAGACATAGCATGTAATTCACATTAATTAGAATGAAAATTATCTTAAAGTGTGAAGTACTACCCTCTACCAGGGCGACTGATAGATTTTTACGGAGCTTAAAATGACAATCTATCTACCTAGAGACATATCTGTGAATATCCGTAAAAATCTATCAGTCGCCCTGGTAGAGGGTAGTGAAGTACTACATCTGGTATGTTAATCTTTTTTTAAAAAAATATTTATTCTATAATGACTTCTACAAAAATCTTATGGATCCATAGAGACACTGAAAATCCTGAAGCACTATCAAGTGCTAAATCATGTGCTAGTCTTGCAACAAGTAGGTTTTTTTTTTTTTTTTTAATAAAAAAAGTGCTTCACTTTTCTTTTACTGACCCAATTTTCAATTTCTTGTAGAGCTTATCTTTCTTTTTTAATTGTTTTAGAAATAAATACTTGAACTAAGAGACGTGGCAATAACCTTCAAGGTTTGATAGTTTGATGGTCAAACTTAAACTAATGGCAGTCCATTACAGAGACCATGTTGAAGTGACCCACAACAGCTCACCACAAGAACCCTAGTACAGCAGTGTTACCTGTCAAAACTAGTGGTCAGTGAAGTCCCAATGGCTTTGTTAGACATTTAAATAGAGTCATTTCACACTGTGCATTTCAAGTTGACAGTTTCTATTTGTTATGGTAATGAAATCTGTTTTTCATGAGCATTAAACCGCATCCTGTTCTTCAGCTTCATATTTCTAAAATACCAATAGTTCACCATGTCTGGTGCAGGCAAAAATGAAACTTTGTTTCATTTATTCATTTTATTTTTTTAGCTAATATAAAGTTACACATAAATGAAACCAGAATCTTTTTCAATATTCTTTTACTTATTAGGTGTAAAATGCCCAATTTTACTGAAAAATTACATCCAATTGACCACAAAATAAATGACAGCAATGTGCCTAGTTCTTACAACTTTATCGATACTATAACAACAGTTTTACTTAGTTATTTCACTGTTATCAAAACTGGCTGCTGAACAAGGCGGTTAAGTAAATCTATTTTATCTCTCTTTTACTTTAGTTTTCTTAGCACAAGCACCAATTTGCCAAATCTAGCACGGTGTGTTAATTCATTCTGAAGACTGAATGAATTGGTTAGATTTGCGTGCAGCACTCAATTAAATATTAAACCAACAACCAGTAATCCATAAATAATTGATCTAAGGAATGTAATTGAGACAAATCTACTCATAATGTTATGCTGAGGTTATCTTTTGGCGATTATCTAGTGGGAACTGTTTTGTTTGGCCACATTTTTGACACACTAGGGTGACATATTTATAATCAATCGAGGCCAAGCTCTTTCAAAAACCTTATCACTGGAGGCAACATAATAAACACCTTTTCCAAAACAAATGTCTTATTTCAAAGTAGCGAATGTCAAGAGCCCTTAGCAGTAATACCATATAAAAATATGAAACAACCACAATAGTGAAGAAGACTACAGCTAACTTAAATCAAAACTGAATTCTCAATTAAACTAGACATTGCTAGCTAAAAAAAGACACTTAAAGGTCTGGTCCTCTTATTGCACTGAATTTGACTGAATTTAAATACGAAGGAGCATCTGTGTCGCTGTCACCACAGCCTCTTAAACATGTGTTACCTGGCTGTCACATGTACGCCAAGGACACTCCCATGAGCCAAATACAGGTGTTACTCACCCATTTAAATTCAGACATGGCAACATTTCCACAAGGGGATAGCAGACAGCACATATCCTGTAACAGTATGTTGCCTGCTAATTATAGCTCCCTTTTCTCAGCCATCCTGTCATGGGACTAAACACCCTCTACCTCAGGGTAAACCCTCTACCTCAGGGTAAGGCTACGTTATCAAAGTGGAAGCTAAAGTGCAATGACCAACATAATACCAACCCTTCTTCCCCAGGGTTACAGAGAGAATAATTTTTTCAGTAGATATTCACAGATATTTCTCTGGCTAATATGTAGCTGTGCACATTTCTATACCGTGAGAAGTTTTGCACAATACTAATGTCATCATTCCCCTGGTATAGAGTGCACAATACTTTTGTTAAGATAACTTTTAGGGGTCCTTAACAGTTCATCATGAAAAATTACTACTACGTGCCAATAGTGATGTAGCAATGAATCCCATTTTTTTCAAAATGGTTCTTTAATGATCCTCGAGTTCAAATACAAGTGGACATAACATCATCTTAAGTTCATTTCATTGAAATACCAAAGGGTACCTAAACTAAAACCAGTTTCACTGTATTTAAATAAATTTCATCTTGTTGGTTAACATGTTCAAAGGAATGTATGCATAAGTAACAGTAATTTAAACTTTAAGCTTGGTTAAAAATCATACAACAAAACACATTTGTTTAAATATCCAGCTCAATGTATTCAAAGGTAAATGAGTTACAAAAATATGCTCATCCCTATGCTTTATTTCACAGGTTAAGGTAAGTTTAATTTCAGAATCATTATATATTAAGATTCTCACTATGTGATTTTTATTTTTACTTGGCATTTCTGTTTCCCTCTCTATTGTTTGCATAGCATGCATTAAATACTCCAGGGCAACTCTGTTATAAAGTGGAGTTCCACGCTACTACATTAATCAATATGCCTAAAAGTCGGGTAAAACTACAGGTTACATTGAGATGTTTGAAGTGACATTAACGTTGCTTTAGAAAACAGAACCCACAGGTGCAAACCTTCCTGGATGCTAATGAGTACCACAAAATACAGTAACAAGATAGCAAGATATCAAGCTCCCACACAGATATATATATAACCTTTAAGGGAAAGGCAGCATTAATTAAAATATTATCTGACCATTGGCTAATCTCTTCTGGCCAAACCCAATATGTGCATTATATGTAGTTTACTAGTTCTACACATCTTCAACTATGTTAACTCAGTCAAGAGTGATAATCAATAGGGCATGCTAGTGGGAATCTTTTTTAATCCAAAAATTTAGTTTGCAAAAGAGAAATATATCAAACATAGTGTCACATTCCCCGGCACTTTTTTTAACAATTTCATTTAGAAAATTAATGCAGTTATAATTTCTTTCAAATCACAGCCTATCAGAGATAGAAAAACTTAAATATAGTACTCTGGTCGTATACTTTCTCCTTTTGAAACAGGCTTGCAAACTTTACAACTTGGGTGTATTATTCAACAATGCAAAATAAAGAATTCAAAGCAAAGGAGGCAGTTGGGTTGGTACAGCCCCCCCCACCCCCCACCCCCCACCCCCACTCCCAAAAAGTCATACATGCACCTTGTTCTTTTTACACATAAAATGATATATTCTAACTGTGATACATTGATGCCCCCATTTTACAAATACAAACATCCATGCGGTTCCTATGTCCACTTGAGTAAACAAGACAAACAGTGGGTAATCTCATGTAGCACTGACACAAGCTCATTGAAATAGCTGACATTCCCAAGGCTATTTGATAAACTTATCTAAATGTCATGTACTTTAGTGTGCACAACATCGGAATATGATTTTAAATTGGCTTTTATTTAATCAAAGAATTTATAAAGCTGTTAGCAGTTCATAAAGCAATAAATTGTAAGTGCACAAAAGCTGTTTTCCACACACATTATTCTGTGTTTTGAACAAATAAGGATATCTGTTATTTCAAAAAAACCGTTTCATAAAAAAAAGCAATCAGTTTTCCCTTATGTCTAATTCTACTTTTCAAAAATGTTTGAGTATAAACTTATATATGCCTTGTGTTAAACAATTTAGTTATGTTAATCTCAATATTACCATCAGAAATTAAAGTTTACTAGTCTGATCACGTTACATGTGACAATTAATTAAATAAAACACAAATCTGTTGACCTTGGGATTACATTTTATTGGGGTGTGGCAATCTACTTTTCAATTTGAATGGTTAACTAACAAAATTCCACAAACCATTTTAAATAATATTCAGGGCGATCGTCGATAAGAACTTGGAAAATCTTTTCCTGTTATAAGTTATATAACTATATGTTGCTCATGCGATAAAAAATAAACGTTCAATTTAAGTCTCTTCATCTTTTAATGCTATTTCTTATTAGGATGATACGTTTACAACCTAACATTAAAATGACATTTTCCCACGGTCTTGGCAATAAAATTCCATAAAAAGCTGACAACATAACTAACTTGTCAGTTGCGGGCAAAGATTCCATGCACATTCAATCACTTCAAAAAACTTTTCAAAAAGTTCATTGGGAATTCTAAGGAAATTTTAAGCTACAAAATAACTTACCTCGATCCACCTCTGTGTTTCATGCAATGCCATATCCGTGTAAAACTCCAATTCCTCGTCAATCCTTGATCTAAACGACCAATTCGATTCAACCGGCTCACTTGAATCCGCCATGATGCGAAAGTGCCTTCTCCTCGCGTCTTTGCCAGCGGGAAACCCTTGGGTATTCAAAGTAACGAGAACTTCAACAAGGTTTCAATTATACAAACATACAACAACTTCCCTTGCTCTATTTAATAAGAGTGTCATATGGAGTCTTTACAACATCCCCTTAGGTTAGACCTAACTTAAACAGAGCCTACACCGTGTCGGTGTAACGCACTAGTGTCCCAGTTGCGGTGAGGGAAATCTCTCAGATCACATGACAGAGATGACCTTTTGTGATTGGTTTGTTTATTTTGACATATGATATTTCTTAAAACGCCAAATTAAAATAGTATCAACAATTGTATCAAAAACTGAAAATGTTTTTTTTTTATATTGTAAAGGAGTAGAACAAAAAACAAACAGCATTTAGTGTAACTGATTAAGATAGCACAAATTGCGGTGGCTTGTCTTGCTAATCAGTTCTATTTTCGCCCTCTATTGACGAACAAGTGCCTCCAAGGTAAACTATCATGGCAGACCGTTTGGCGTGCAAAAGGTGTGGGAAAATACAGTCGATTTTAAAGAGATGTACCCGTTGTCAAAAAGTGGTCTACTGGTATGTGAACACTATGAAAGTAAAAGCTTATACTAATTTGGATTTCGACAAAATGGTGCCTCTCTCTATGATTTTATTGAAAGTAAATTACATAGAAAAGTTGAGGCCAGTGTCTGATTTTCTGGCTGTGCATTTTATATGACTGTTTGATTGCTTTTGGTTTACTGTAAAAATCTTGATAAATAAATTTAAATTATCAACATATCTACAAGAAATTTTTAAAAAATCAGTTGACACAATATACTTACTTACACGTTCCAGTATTATATATTTTACTCCATAATGTAAATATATATTTTACCTACACTTCCTTCCAGTTCCCGTGAATGTCAAGTTAAGGACTGGACTTCTCACAAAGACCTGTGCAATAAAAATGTCCCAGAGTCTCCCAGCATCAGACATACCCCAAATGCCAAAAACTTCTCAAAATTAAATACTGAAATGGACAGCACATCATTAAAGACAATTCAACATTCAAGTGAAGAAAACAGTGGAGACTTGCATGTATCAAATGTTTATGAAGGAGAAAACTACAAAGACCAAAATATTTCTGAAGTGAGATTGAACAATCAGCACCAATGCTATGGGAAAGAAAATGGTCCAAAGAGTGGTGGAAGTCACTTGGAAAGTGTTCAAAGAAGACTACTAGTAGAACAGAACAAGTGTTTTCAATCAGAGAATTTTCCCCAGGTTAGCTCTACAACAGATAAGAAAACAGACTGTCAACATCAGGATCCTAAAGATCACAATCAAATCACAAAATTACCAGTACAATTTGATCATGGTACTCAGAAACAGACAGTAGCTGAAAATGTTGATATGCAACAAACTACATCGAAAGTCTCAGGGGTTATCATGTTTGAATGTAAAGAAAGAGAAGTAACACTCTCAACATCTTCCCGACCTTCCAGTAGCAAATGCATGGATGGTCCTCTAGATACTGACACCAAGCAACTCACATCAACAATTATTGTGAAAGGAAATAAAGAAAAACACAAAATCCCTATTCAAAAACACTGGTCTGGAGAAGATATAATGCAACAAATAGCACATACTGTTCAAATTCCTCTCAGCAAGTTGAAATTGATTTGTCAAGGAAAACTAATGGGACAGGGTAACATTAAGGAATTTATTACAGAAAAGGCAGTATTTCAGGCGCTTGGTGAAAAGGCTGAGAGTGAGGAGGGCTTGGAGAAGCAAGACATTGAAGTGGTTCTGAAGCAGATGAATATTGATAGAAACACAGCTATAAAAGCTCTGAGAAAGACAGACAATGTGATTGATGCCATTATTGAACTTGGAAACAGGTGAAAAAATAAACAAAATGTGAAAAACAGCAAAGCAGCTTATTATTATTATTATTATTATTATTATTATTAAGATCAGGAGCTCATTGTTGTTTTTTGGGGTGGAGGGGGGTACTGCAGAATAAGTGGCTTCAAAATATGGTGCAATGTTAGGTGTTATGAAATATTCTTCTTTAGATTCCATTATGATAATCTTTTCTGAAAGCTTTCCTTTTGAGGAAAACAGGAGGGGTGGAGGATCCCCCCCCCCCCTCCCCCCAATTCATCAACGTGGTTAAATTAAATGTGCTTGTACTTGTAAGTTAGAATTGAAGTTCTTTGGTCAATAGCTGGGGAAAATGAACTTGTACTTTAAATTTCTGTTCAATATTTCATCTGCTTACTAACAGACTCGGGGATGGTGTTGTGACATATATGTAGTTTGTTACACCAGGGAATTATATCCGATATATATATATAGGTTAAGGTTTGTAAATGTGTCCGGCCAAAATGTGTATGTTGCCAAAAAAGATGACTCAGATGTGTATTCTTCTGATAATTTAACTATCAAATAAAATTAAACTTTGTTTATAGTACTTAATACGCTGAAGTAATTATTTTCAAGAGGACAACAAATACAGTATTAGTAATTATATGAAGTTTAAAAACCAAATAGAAAAAATGGAGCATTTTGATAAAAAAATTTGTCAATACTGGCCATATATATGCTCAAACACCTAACATTTAAATCATTCTCCTGTCACCCCCTTATTTTTTGTACAACCACATAGTCATTACACTCATTCTTTAAGTTCAGTACATTATCTAAATACTGGTACTGTACTACCGGTAACTACATGTACATGTATGTTTTAAAATACAACTTTGCCAAACAAACTCAAATTTTGTTGTTTTTTATTCTTGTTAATCAACCAGCATACCTTCTTTGGCATGACAAATGTAGCCAGTATTTGTCTCTGAAATATTGAACTTTTTTCCATACATATGTGTTATACATGTAATTGCACTACATGTACAGTACACATGCATACAGTACTGTATTTCAGATGGGAAATTATTTTTAAAATGTTATTTAAAAATATCCATGCATATTCAAATGTAAAGATATGGAAAAATATTATTATTTTCCCTTTAATTTAAATTAAAAACAATGAATATCAAATAAATTTCGTTGGGAGTGCACTGTCTTAACAAAAAAAAAACGTTGAGTAAACACAATCACGTGCTCAACCGGTTGCTTTACCTCGTTTTCATTGCAAGTTCCTTATCATACCTGAATGTCTAAAGCGAGTTTCTAATTTGGAGAATGTATATAGGTCAACCGGAAGCACGTTCTACAATCGTGACAGTGCTTCTAACTGCTAGACAACATCGAACACAATGTCCCACACCACACGGACTATGAAGAGGTCGGAGGAGAACACTCAGACGATTTAGATTCAACATTTCTACTATATTGTGCTGGAGACTCGAAAATTGTAAGTTCTGTTTCAAAATTGTGTTTAATTCTAGCGTTACACGTAAACTTTTAATGCAGACGACATTTTTCGGCTGAATCAGTGATCAATGAACTTAATAGAGCACTTTGCAATATTGAGTGTCGTTTGTTCTTTGGCACTGGTTCGTTTGCACCCCCTCTTTCTTTTGTGTCTGCATTTTATCATGGCATGGTCTGATCCAGGGAGGGGGCAGCTAGGGTGTAATGTGACTGTCTTTACCTTTCCAATTTTCCCGCGGGTTCGTGTACCAAATAAGAACCTACATGTACATTGTACCTGTATACATTTTTAATCTGTTTTTATAAATAAAAATTATATTTACCATTTATTTTCCAAACATTGGATATAACATTGTTTAGCAAATCTACCCGCTTTGCTTCACGCATTTTAATGTGTATTGTATTGCATCATTCATAATGTTAGGAGTATATTATTGCATCACGCCAACTTTCTCATACCAGTACATGTATGGGGCACCCTACCTATTTCTATTGCTGCCACTATATCCACTGCCTTTGCTTGCTTATCAAGGGAACAGTCTCACAGTCACGGTAGGGAGAGTTGCAGAGAACGTCTCTATAGGGTGGTGAGGGGTGTGGTATTGACCCAAAAGGTAATATAGATAGGCTTTTGGTAATGATTTTATAAACTAGAATGTTTTTAATTATTATTATTATTAATATTAATATTAATATTAATATTAATATTAATATTATTTATGCAGCCAAATGCTCATTAGCTCATAGATGCTCAGTTTATGCTATACAGCAGAAGGAAGAGATTTTTTTTCTTGTGATACTCAGAAGAGATGGTGGCAATCATACAACACTAGTATTGGTATTTAAAATGCACAACGAGTCTGAAAAATGTAAAAAGAGCAGCAGTCTGGTCTAGAAATGTAGTGCATGAATTGTTATATATAAAGATGCCACTTCATTTGTTCAGCTGGATACTTTTAGCTCTCAAAAATTGATTCTTGACACTTGTAATCCAGGTTAACAGAAATCCTCATCCACATTAATTCCAATCATGACCAGATTTGTTATTTATCCTAATAAATGGCCTTAGTGTGAACTAGGTCACATACTTTTTTATTATCAGAAAGGCCAAACCTGCAATAATATTCAACAAGCAAACTTGCACTTTTATGCCACATTACAATTATGATATCCATATGTTACATTTATGCTATGAAGAGAACCATACCATATAAGATGCCACGTAAACATTGCATGTCAATATATACTTTATTGTTTCGTAGGTCTCAGTTTAAAACATTAACTGAACTTGCGTGATGGGAAGAAATTCAGACGCATGTGTGTTGGGGTCATCTGGTATATTTTCCATTAAGGCCATATTTTCAGATTGCTCATTTCTTCTGAAGACAAGCAGACTTACTAAATCATTAGCATAGGTTGTGATCTTACTGTGACATCCATTCATTTGAGCTCTGATGAAAAACCATTGACTTTTTATACCTATATCCAAGAAAAGGAAACTTTTATCAGTCATGTAACTGAATCTTTCTTTGTGTAGTGCTTATTTAGAGATAGGAAAATCACATTCACAATCTGTGCAGTCTTGTCTCTGATTTGATATACAAATGTACCTTAAGGCTAACATTACTGCATCTCTGACTCATCATTTTAGTAGGGAACTAGTCTAGACTAGTCTGATATATAGCACATTCAAGAAGTAAGTAAATAGATGCCAAATTTTATAATCATATACTCACAGTCGCTTGTCACAGCACATTTTTAAAATTGTGCTGAATGTTATTTTGACTTAGATTCGAATATCAATAACTTAAGCTAGGATTAAACTTGATGGAGAGTTCAGCGGCTATTTAAATAGGAGACCAGGCATGGGCGTAACTAGGCATACGCACGGATGCACTGTGCGTACAATTTTTTGGGGCAATCATGATATTATTCTCTATAAATTTAGTGTATTTTTCACGGAATATAATCGAAAATCCCCTTCGATTGCAAGTTAGAGTCCCCTGAATGTACAAATCTTCTGTATAAATTGTATACGCACCATTGTTCTGACACCCCCGTTTGCTTTCACAGAATTGAGCTATTTAAACAATACTATCTACCTTCAGAAGTCCTATCTTAATCGTCCATCTAGCTGTAACTTCCTTTACCTCTTAATTGGAGGTTTGAATGCCCTTCAACTCTCAGGTAGCCTTTGTCTTAAGTGTGTCAAACTCACACTCGCTGGTGATATTTATCTCAGATAAAAATCTACCTGTGTGTTATTTTCAAAGAGCAGCTCCAGCAGACCTGGAGACACTAGATAAAATCTGGACAACAGGCTTTATAAGGAGCCAGAGGAAAAAATCCTGCAAAGCTTCAAAGAATTTTGACACGGATTTGACCCAGCGTACCCCTCCAAACTAACAGGGTGACATGGGAATTTTTTACAAACAAATAATAAAAATAGATAGCCCAGAGCTTTATCCTGTAATATAATTGGTTGATTTTGGATGATACCATATATAAGTTCAACTTTTAGAAGATTCATCATTAAGCTGACCATGGATATGGCGAAGAGGATAGCAAGAAGGCGAAATAATCCTAAAACGATCAACTGTTCTTAAGATTATTTTCTGACATCTCAGGATAACCGCCACAAACCACATCGAACAACAGTGCCGCACCATTATATAGAATTTAGCTTGATACAAGCGGACATAAATTGCATATGTTCCCAAAGTTTGTGTCAGTAAGCCCCTTGTTAAATTTATAAATATACCATTCTGGGCAAGGCTTTTCCCAGCGAGTCGTCCAGCTGCCATTTGGACGGCCGCTGGCATCACCGGAAGGCCTATGTTTTCAAAGAAGGCTGGACGGCTCACGATAAAAAAGGCTTCACTTGTCGGGGCAGCCGCACCCTGGGGCAGCCGTGGACGTCGTATGAAAATCCCTTGGAGTAATTTGACGTATGAATATTACTATTTTGTAGTGCACCCTGTTTTAAAGTCACGACGTAACTACAGTACTACCTTAAGCTTCCAAACACAATAAAATGTTTCCATTAGCTTTAAAATACATAATGCAGGCTGAGCAGTGGCAAGAATGATCTACATTCGGTACAAAACAAGTGTAGGCCCTACATGAAATATGACTTAACTAGCCGCCAAATTATGAAAGGGGACACCTTCCGGATCTTTATACGAATGGCACCTGACAAAGCTGATAGACAAGAAAGGCAATTTTTATATCTTCAGCGATAGATTGTTCGCAATCCGAAAGAGACGAAAAGGCAATTTTCATATTTGTTCAAGAGACTTCGTTAGCCGAAGATCGGGATTAAGAGATAGTAACCGAAAGCAGCGAGACGAGGAGGCAATTTTCGTATCCTCAGCGGGAGATCGAGCGCGATCTGAGCGAAAAGAGACAGCAATTTTCACATTCGTTTAATGGACTTCGTTCGCAGAAGATTGTCAGTCGGAGATCGTTCACGATCCGACCGAGACGAGAAGGCAATTTTCATATTCATACAAGGGCGTTCTTTCACGGAAGAGCGTCACGGGAGATCGTTATCGATTATTTTTAACCCTCCTTCCCAATGAAATTTATTATTTAATTATTTTTTTCATTTAACTTTTACCCCACCACCACCCCCAGCTCACGGCTCTTGGAAAAGTTTGACGTCCCGAAATTGTGAAGTAAGATACAGATTGCAATTATGGATGGCCTGTACCCCAAACCCGGAAAAAACATTGGTTCTGGGTGAAACAATATACTGGAACTTAATTATATTGTGGGAATATTTTAAACTTTAAGTAATGATTTTATAAACAGTGATAACTAAGCTATTATATTTGGTACATATAATTTAAACTACCCTTCATCTTTTGCGTAAGTCTACATTTAGCTATACCTGGGAATTTTGAAATTCTGTGCGTACAATTTTAAAAGGTCTGGTTACGCCCCTGCCAGGGGCTATTTTAAATAAGGCTGTGGGTAGGTTGCATTTGTACAGGACAGAGTTGTGATAAGACGAAAGGTTTCAGGTTCTTGAACCATCTGTAGAATTTACTTAAGTTTGATCAATTGAGTATTTTACAGATGTATGTGATGGACATGATATCTCAGTGTTCTGATAATTTATGTGACTTATTTTAGTAATGAAGTACACTGTATCCCAACATCCTTGTTCTTCTGGCTGCTGTGGCAATTTTTTTTCTGTCTGCTCTTATAATCCCGGCTGAATGCCATTATTATTATTGCATCCACAACAATGTATCTACTTGTTGATCCTGTTTATTTCAGACATGAATCCCACCTAGATGACGAAGTGAAACGTGAACACCAATGTGTAGCTAAGTCCATTGGCCACATTAAAAAAACTGTGGGTTATACTATTTGAAGGTGAGTAAGGACTTTTCCTCTATATTTTACACTTACATAAGCATTTAATGTTGACTGAGACATGACAAAAAACATAATCTTCATGATAAAATGTCATGACTGCAGAATATTGGTGTACTCGCACTATACAAGAGATTTTTTTTGCTTGTTTGTTTGTTTGTTTGTTTGTTTGTTTGTTTGTTTAAAGGTACCCTACCCAGGATTTTCCCACCAAATTGAATTTTCTCGAGAATTAAGGCAATTTTTTTCTACTCTTGAAACATTTAAGTTCACTAAAATAATGTCTTTTCTAGTAAGTCTGCTAAAATGAAGTTTATTTTCTCTTCATGTTGAATGCTGTAGAGGTAGGAAGATGTCTCAGGTAGCTGTGGAGCCTAGAGAGTTGATAACCCCTGCACTGAGCCAGAAGGAAAAGCTGCCACATTATGTGGATGCTGCCATCGATTTTATTGGAGGGACTGCAGGTGGGCTACCAGAGATAATACTGGAATACTTTCTTATGATACAGGCTAAGTCTTGACTTAATACCCATTTTCCACTGTGTTCCCATAACCTATCATACTAGCAGGATCAATCTCCTTCAGCGAGGATTCTCACTAAGGTGCAATTAGCTGAATTGTCTGGCACACCCCTCCTCGTAAAGCAACATGAACAACATAGTGGACCACAAAGTTTTTCCGACTTTACCCAATTAATTTAAGTTACGAGGGGGAGTGCCAGACATTTAAGTTGCCTAAACTGAATGCAATTTAGCCAGAGTCCCTGAGGAGTTAGATCGACCCAGCTAGTGCATTATGGTTATGGGAATGCCCCCTTTCTCACAAGATTGATTCTTCTGCACTGAAAATGTATAAATGTATAAAAAAGGCTATCTTTTTGATTTGATGATGAATAAGGTGCTGGAATGAATGGATTAAACTAAAAGCAAGATCTGGAAACCTTTGTGTGCACATGAAACTGAACATTATGGTATATGAATTTGGTTTTAACTTCTTTGTTAAACTTTTGTTCTTCAGTATTTTAAGTATAATGGCATATTAATTTATTTTCAACCACTTTATTTGATCTTTAAAATGGTATTATTCCTCAATGTTTTGACAGAATTTTCCTCAGGAGAAGGTGTTTGTATTATGTTTTCTTTTTAAAACAGATCTCTTAATTGTAACACATTTTTTCAGGTGGGATAGCCAATGTGTACGTGGGCCAACCTCTGGATACAGTAAAAGTCAAACTGCAGACATTTCCAACCTACTATAAGAATGCCTGGCACTGTTTTAAACAGACTTATACCAAGGAAGGCATTGCCCGTGGCCTGTACGCAGGTACCGGACCAGCACTTATGGCCAATATTGCAGAAAATGCTGTGCTCTTTGCAGCCTATGGTCAGTGCCAAAAACTGGTAGCATTTGGTGTTGGAAAAAGTGGAAAAGTTGATGATCTAAATGTTGTTGAGAATGCGCTGTCTGGAAGCTGCGCTGCTGTATTTTCCTCCATCGTTCTCTGCCCCACGGAACTGGTGAAGTGCCGTCTCCAAGCCATGAGGGAAATGGCTGTAACTGGTCTGTCAGAAAAGCAGAGAATGTATGTTGAGATTTATATTTTCTCTCTACATTATTTGCAGTCATGAAATTTACATGTAGAATATGAGAAAAAAACACCACATTTCTCTTTATTGCAATTTCAGCACATTGCTACTTATATAAAAGTTTATGTAATTCTGAGTTATGTAAGGTAAGTTCATCTTGAGATCTCAAAGCACATTCTTTATCACAAGGGGAAATGTTATCAGTGTAAGTTTATACACAGAATCTGATGACATTTGGCAACAGATTGATCTTTCAGTAAGGATATTTTTATTTTATGGATGTAATGTTTATATGTATATTCACAGACACTTTATATGTCTGTTTATATTATGAGCGCTGTGTTTGTCTATGCCATTGCTGGCATATCTCTCCTCAGTTCCAAACCATTTTTTTTTAACTTGAAATTTTCATATTTTAGCATGTTGTGATTTTTTTTCGGGATCTCAGCATGCTGAGAAAAAGAGTCCCTCTTTGGGATTATTTTTTCAGCATATTGGGATTACTTTTTTCATGTTTAGTTGAACCCAATGAGCTACTTCTGATAAAAAATGTTTTATTTGTGACAGAGGACCTTACCAACTCACCAGGCAGATTCTTCGAGAGGAGGGTTACAGGGGGCTATTTAAGGGATTGTCTGCCACATTTGCCAGGGAAGTACCAGGGTATTTTTTCTTTTTTGGAGGTTATGAAATCACAAAAGCATTCCTCACTCCCCCAGGAAAGACTAAGGATGATGTAGGTAAGATGGCATAAAGCACTGCTTTAATATAACTTATATCTTTTATTGCACATCATTTAAATTGGGTCATCGGAATGAGGACAGCTGCCCATTATCTGATAATCCACTTATGTTTCTGTCGTATATGTGCTCATGTATTTTATTACATACTCTAGTCACAGGCTGGTGAAAAATCGTATGCTTAAGACAGTTTGGCAATTTTTTTTTTTAATTTCAAAGCTTATNGACAAAAGGACTAGTCCCCTGCACATCAGATGATTGGAGTTGTATACACTGTGACTGAAATAAATCTGAAAAGGATGAAGGACCATACGTACTTTTATGCCAATGTTCCTGTAGTTTGCAGTCGTAAATGATAACGTTTATAATAATAATAGTGACAATAAACGATGGAGAAGCAGCAGCTTTGTCTGGAGAATTCTTTTTCCCTGCAAAAACCGTGTTCTTTTGAAGGTGGAACTAACCTGTTGCCTAAGCAATTAATGGTTGGGATTTTCCTCCCTTTAAAACTTTGACTCTTGTCTCCTCAATGCCAATTCCTTTGGACTGTAAAAGGCCATCAAAATTATTGCCAGTCTTTCAAATGAATGGAACGTATTAAACACGTATACTTCAACAAATTAAGTTAAAAGTGAAACTCCATTTTATCATATCAAAAATAGTGCAAATATATGTGAAGGCCTCAGATCGCTGCCGTTCTCAGACTGTTGTAAGAAAATTGGTCTCTACAATGTACTTTACAATAATATTTAAACCTTACTGTCTTAATATTTTCTTTATCATAGAATATGACAATTTTAAGTTAACACACAATCAAGATGTGGCGTTAATTAATCCAGTTTTAACATAACAACAACCATAGCAAAGATGGAATTAAAATAAGTTCTGGTATTGCTAGGAGTCCGTAAAATTCAGCCCCGTCAGTCTGAGGACAGCAAAAAAGAGCCTCTTGACCTATTTAAGTTAGTTAAATCACTTGGTCAATTTCTCTTTATTTATAATATTGGTGACGTGGGTAAGCTTCGCATCCGAGGCCTGTCATTCCTAAAAAAAAAAGCCCCCCCCCCCTTCAAATAATCCTGGATCTGCCCCTGTATAAGTGGTATATTCATCTGTCCCAAAATCAATTGACTAGAAAGTAATCGTATCGGCATCTTTGTCTCAATAAGTGTCGATAATGTATCAATATTGGCGTAAATGGCTAGCCTAGCATACGTGGTTAGAGTTCAATGCCATTTTTCAATAAGCAGTTTAAAAGTAAAAACCAGAAAAACTAATTATGTATTTTTCTCTTTCATACGAAGATGGGTAGAATATTGCTTACTTTTAAATGATTTCTTCCTTTTCAAAACGGAAAAGGAAAACGGTGAATATTAATTGTTATAAATTTTGGAAAAAAAATGAAAACTTTTCTCCCACCGAGATAGCATTTTCGATGAGAGGGCAGTATGGCATGCATGGCGCCATATCGGGTCAGCAATTGACTCAATCCAAGTTTCATCTGTCACGTACCTGAAAAAAAAAAAGAGTTTAATGAGCTTCCCCTCGTCACCACCATTTTAAGGACTTTTAAGTGAAGAGAAAGGAAGTATTATTGACGTTGCAGATTTGATGATAATGACCTGCAAAAAGTTGATGTCAAATTGATCACTTATTGTAAACATTACCGTTTTTTATGCAAAAGTTTCATATCAAAATACCATATATAATATATATACAATATATATATAAGAAATAAATCTACTTTAAAAGACGTAAGATCTTCATATATGCATCACTGTGACAACTTTTTTATTCATGATGCAAAAGGTAATTTGCGTGGACCCACGGGAGCCCGCATTCGTTCGTGTGGCTTCCCGATTCCAGGGCCAGGTCGTCGTCGATGTTGTGATGGACTGACATGCGTCATCTGGGATTCGAACCCGTGACTCTACGTCACCATGTTTGATGACGGCTTTGCATTTGTATTTTGCAGCCAGCCACGCTACCGACTGCGCCGTGACTGACCCGCCCACCCTCCGTACCTACGGGTTTCCTCTTATAGTAATCAAAGGCAATTTTTGAAAATGATTTCTGGCAAAAAAAAGTTGGAGTTGCATTCTCGATCTCGCGTACAACTGTCTACCTGCGTCCAAGACGGCGGAGGTACCACGGAGCCAGACTAACTTGGCTACGGAGTAAGTGATCAAATGGAAATGTTTACCTTCTCACGGAGAAGGCCAGTTTGGATGTCTACACGAAGATATCTGCAATTACGATCGACAGTCGGGGTGCCGCATTTCTTCCCGAGCCACGCCAGGTCCCGAACATGGTCTACCCATGAACATTGAAGTTCATCATGTCCACTAAACCTTGTTTAACAACCAGGATCGAAGCGTTCCTACATTGATGGCTTTCTTTTTACCGTCAGTCAGCGAGAAATTCTTTTGGGCGGTTTTAGTTTAAGCAAGCTCCTATGAAGAGGAAAGCGTTAAAAAACGTTCAAATGTATAAAAAAAAATGGCGCGCTTTCCATTCTAGCATGTGCAATTGTGACGATGCAAATTCTGAGAAAAAAAACATATTTGCCAAATAATTCCGCCTAGAAGATGCCATCTTTTGCTGCTGATAGCCGTTCACGGGTGATGTGACGTGGTGCGATACCGGGAAAGTTACTAAATCACTTTAACTTCGGTCGCTTTTATTGATAAGCCTGCCTACAATGTTCCTAGCTATATGAATTCAAGTGCTTTTATTTTCATTTTGATTTACACTGAGGTTACGTTTGACTTCACCTATGGCGTTATAGAGCACGAAGAGATCCAGAGCGGTTCACACCTTGACGGTTTGAGTTTTGAGCATTGTTTGCCACTTGAAATGTCGACTGTGGAATTGCCCCGGGTACTGTATGACCATACGAACAGTCTTCATAAGCAGGGGTCCAAGAGGGAAAGGGCATACAAAAGAATGTATCAATGAGTGAAGCAATAGCGGCAACGCGAATTTTGAAAAAAAAATGTAAACTTTTCTTGCAGATTATCCCACAGAGAAGATAGCACTTTTCGATGAAAGGGCAGTATGACATGCATGGCGCCGTATCGGGTCAGCAATTGACTCAATCCAAGTTTGATCTGTCACGGACCTGAAAAAAAAAAGAGTTTAATGAGCTTCCCCTCGTCAGCACCATTTTAAGGACTTTTAAGTGAAGAGAAAGGAAGTTTCATTGACGGTGCAGACTTGATGATAATGACCTGCAAAAAGTTGATGTCAAATTGATCACTTATTGTAAACAATACCGTTTTTTTATGCAAAAGTTTCATATCAAATCACCGTATATATCTTAAAGAAATAAATCTACTTTGAAAGATGTAATATTTTCATAGATGCATCACTGTGACAGGTTTTTTATTAATGATGCAAAAAAGGTAATTTGCGTGGACCCACGATAGCCTGCATTCGTTCGTGTGGCTTCCCGAATCCACGGCCAGGTCGACATCGATGCTGTGATGGACTGACATGCGTCATCTGGGATTCGAACCCGTGACTCTACGTCACCATGTTTGATGACGGCTTTGCATTTGTATTTTGCAGCCAGCCACGCTACCGACTGCGCCGTGACTGACCCGCCCACCCTCCGTACCTACGAGTTTCCTCTTATAGTAATCAAAGGCAATTTTTGAAAATGATATCTGGCAAAAAAAAGTTGGAGTTGCATTCGCGAACTCGAACTCGCGTACAACTGTCTACCTGCGTCCAAGACGGCGGAGGTACCACGGAGCCAGACTTACTCGGCTACGGAACGAGTGATCAAATGAAAATCTTTATCTTCTCACGAAGAAGGCCAGTTTGGATATCTTTACGAAGATACCTGCAATTACGATCGACAGTCGGGGTGCCGCATTTCTTCCCGACGGACGCCAGGTCCCGAACATGGTCTACCCATGAACATTGAAGTTCATCATGTCCACTAAACCTTGTTTAACAACCTGGATCGAAGCGTTCCTACATTGATGGCTTTCTTTTTACTGTCAGTCAGCGAGAAATTCTTTGGGTTGGTTTTTGTTTAAGCAAGCCCCTATGAAGAGGAAAGCGTTAAGAAACATTCAAATATGTAAAAGAAAATTGGTGCGCTTTCCATTCTAGCATGCACAATTGTGACGATGCAAATTCTGAGAAAAAAAACATATTTGGCAAATAATTCCGCCAAGAAGATGCCATCTTTTTCTGCTGATAGCGGTTTACGGGTGATGTGACGTGGTGCGATACCGGGAAAGTTACTGAATCATTTTAACTTCGGTCGCTTTTATTGATAAGCCTGCCTACAGTGTTCCTAGCTATATGAATTCAAGTGCTTTTATTTTCATTTTGATTTACACTGAGGTTACGTTTGACTTCACCTATGGCGTTATAGAGCACGAAGAGGTCCAGAGCGGTTCACACCTTGACGGTTTGAGTTTTGAGCATTGTTTGCCATTTGAAATGTCGACTGTGGAATTGCCCCGGGTACTGTATGACCATACGAACAGTCTTCATAAGCAGGGGTCCAAGAGGGAAAGGGCATACAAAAGAATGTATGAATAGGTAAAGCAATAGCGGCAACGCGAATTTTGAAAAAATGAAAACTTTTCTTGCAGATTTACCACCGAGAAGATAGCACTTTTTGATGAAAGGGCAGTATGACATGCACGGCGCCATATCGAGTCAGCAATTGACTCAATCCAAGTTTGATCCGTCACGTACCTGAAAAAAAAAAGAGTTCAAAGTTCAATGAGCTTCCCCTCGTCAGCACCATTTTAAGGACTTTTAAGTGAAGAGAAAGGAAGTGTCATTGACGGTGCAGACTTGATGATAATGACCTGCAAAAGTTGATGTCAAATTGATCACTTATTGTAAACAATACCGTTTTTTTATGCAAAAGGTTCATATCAAATCGCCGTATATATCGTTAAGAAATAAATCTACTAAAAAAAGATGTAAGATCTTCATAGATGCATCTCTGTAACAACAACTATTTTATTAATGATGCAAAAGGTAATTTGCGCGGACCCACGATAGCCTGCATTCGTTCCTGTGGCTTTCCGGTCCCATGGCCAGTTCGACGTCGATGTTGTGGTGGACTGATGTGCGTCATCTGGGATTCGAACCCGTGACTCTACGTCA